AAAACTCCGTGTTGCCTAGACCACGGCCTTGCCCAACACAAGTTATAAATTCGGGCACCGCCGGGAATCGAACCCGAGACCCCAGGATTACAAGGCCAGCTCTTTTGAGCATCTAACCTGACCTAACAAAAACTAACCACCTTTCCAAACAGCCTCACAAATGATATCCGACTACGCACATTCAGTAACTCCAGAAATTTATGAAATTTGGCAGGAGTGTTATGCAACTGGTCTACATTAGAGAAACATAATTTCTAACTTCGTGCAATCTATAACACAATTGCTACAGATCATAAAATTCGCGAGGTGGGATAATAATGATACCATTAACCATGATCATCATAAGAATGAGGTAAGAACCGGTTATCTAACTCGTGTAGACACAATAATTAATCGCCGGTTTCCGCAAAGGACGAGGAATTTCTTGTGGTAGGATACGTTTTTCAGGCAAGGAAACAATCTAATGTCTAATGTCTTTGGAAAGTATATGTAAGTATTGTATTATACTTTCTCGCAACATTTACAGACGTGAAATAGAATTCTTGTGGCCTGTGTCAATCGAGATTAAGTAAAGGGGATCACGTCTTATGTCACAGTGGTCTATAGACACTCAACCCCAAGCTCTTTAAAACCTTACCGATGTTTGCTTTTTAAATCTTAGAGAGAAATGAGAAAATACGTGGGACGGAGAGAGTTATGACAATGACGAAAGATTTTTGCTGAATATTTTCTTTTTGGTAGTCGGAAGAATAAATTAGTTATATTAAAGTGGGGTGGTCGGAGTAAGATAGTTCTATCGCAATATTTTGGAGGTGAGCGAAAGAGGGCTGTGGAACCTGCTGAGAGCTGTTTGTTTCCATAACGGAGAGTGAAGAGAGAATGAGAGAGACGAAATGCCTCTAGCGCCACGGAAATCAATGCGGGAGAGTGGTAAACTACGTGGAGTGTCTTTCAATACAGCCTAGGGTGGGTAGGCTACCAGCTCAGCACAGAGGTGCGCGGATTCCGGGAATCTGTCTCTCAGTTCTGCCCGAGTAGGACTCTGCGACTTCTTTTGAAACATTTGTTTTATATAGTAAATGCATTAAAGTGTTTAATAATAAGAACATAAGAAGAAAGTGAATCGAAGGATTGGATTAAACTGGTAAGCTGAAATGTTTCTAGATTTACTATAATATTATGTCTGTCAGTCTGTGACTGTATTGTGTCAATGGACCGCAATGGATGCTGTGTGTGGTACATTTAAATCCGTCACTTGTTATCGTTACATCTTCGTCTCATTTACGATGTTAAAATTTAGATTCTTGAAACACAGAACAGTACATAAAGCGATGTCAGCAAAAAGGGATTAAGGACACAAGACCGGAAATATTACTTTTAATTTACAACCTATAATTTATGTTACCTGTAACATACCAAAGTTATCACTTCAGTCTTACGTTCATGAGTAAATATATATAAAGTGTATACATACATATTTCTTTTAATCAATAAACCTGATTTGTGGAGAATTTTAAAAAACGTTATTTCCTGGTACGGTGATATAATTTAGAGCATACATTTAAAAATTTGAGTCTACTGAGAATCGTGTAAAGAAATAAATTAAACAATTAAATACGCCAACATTGACAATTGGCGAATTACCGAATTTGTTGTACGTGTTCAAAGTAATCACCGTCCATGTTCTTCATAAGCACAACACACGAAGATCGGCAAGAAGGTTCATATTCCTTACTATTATGTGTATACATCTTTTTGGGACAACCTGTATTTTTCGTTCCTCTGTTTTGAAACACGCACACACGAATGTAAACTTCACTTAGAACACAGCCTTTTATAACTAAAATACAAGCAATTATCTATGTGACATGAAACTTCGAATTTATTACAACTAGGCCATTTGGGACCTCACGTCGTGTGAAATTCTGGAACAAAATCGGGTTGCGTAAAATACCAAAAAAAGCAACATCGATTTTGATATGCCTTATTTACAGGAGAGCCTAATGAACAATAATGAGGTGGGCGGTGTTAAATATATCGCAGGAGGTTCGTTACGCTTTAAAAACTTAAATTAGTAAATTAAACGTGCACTTATAACACTAATCCCTTGTCGGGCAAATGTTCTATTATCATAAGAAATAAAAATCGAAGAAACTCTGTATTCCCATGTTGGTAATTAATACAAATGTGTTGTTCTCAGATTCCCACTCTTAAATATTTAATTATACATGATAATTAAAGTGAAATCAATTGACAATTTCTTAAAAAAAATTCTCGGGCGATCAGCAGTGTTAATTTTGAGACAAATACCAACGTTTCGAAGCTTAGCTCTGTCTCCATCTTCAGGGCGCATTTGAGCAATGATAAAATTCAGTCCGTAACGCAAAGAAAATTACGCGTCCACATTGTGCTAGAAATGGATACACCGATTATGGCCGCTGACCTTGTAGGGACTGCCTAGTATGCGGACCACTCAATGAAGGAAAGCCTAGTCACGAATTGTCACGTTTGGTCACGATTTGTAAATCTTTATCACGTTTCGACACATTTAGTGATTCTGTGTCACGACGTGAATGAAGATCACGTTTAGTCACGCGATGTCACGCTTTGTCACGCTAGAGCACTCTTGGTCACGCATAGACACACTTTTGAAATCTTCGTCGTATTTTAATACTTAAGGTGACCTCTCGTCACGCCTTTATGGCAGGTCACGAATAGTCACACTGTGGCACGCTTGGTCACGCTTTGCTAATCTTTGTCACGTTTCGACAAATTTGGTGATCCCCTGTCAAGACGTGAACGCAGGTCACGCTTAGTCACGCTATGTCACGCTTTGGCACTCTTGGTCACTGTCACGTTTCGGCACGCTTAAGTTGTATTAAGTAAGGCTCTGTTTATTTTTGCTACATTTCAATACGTTAAATGAAGTTACGACAGGTTAGGTTAGCTTAGGTTAGATTAGGTTAGCTTAGGTTAGATTAGGTTAGCTTAGGTTAGATTAGGTTAGCTTAGGTTAGATTAGGTTAGCTTAGGTTAGATTAGGTTAGCTTAGGTTAGATTAGGTTAGCTTAGGTTAGATTAGGTTAGCTTAGGTTAGGTTAGGGAACGTTTTGAAAATTGTTGTGACGTTTTGACACTTATGGTCACAATTCGTTACGCTCTTATAGTACGTCACGCCTAGTCACTCTTTTTCACGCTTGGTCACGCTTTGTCACTATTGTAAATAATATAAATAATTGAAGACAATGGAGCGAACAGTAGCAGCGGTAGTGATGAATCGAGTGATATTTAAGAAAGCGAATGTCTGTGAGGAGTGGAAGAATTGGAAGAGGACCGAAGAGTTGTGAAGAAGATAAAATTATCTCACACTCTCTGCATTGTTAATTTTCTAGTGATGTGTAGTGTAGTGATATCGACTTTCCTGTTTTACATACCGTGGTGATATTTTATTTGGAGTGTACTGTACCCGGTCTGCTGTCATCCCTTCCAGCAAATTTCTTGTGAGTGACTCGCTCCGAGGTTCCAATTCACAAAGTTCAGCGGCCAAAATCGCTGGAACGCAGTATACATATGGATTCCATGGGTTTTAACATCAACGCTAAAACTGGTCCTGAAACATGGGTTCCAGAACGCAGAAATGCTAACGACATTCACTAAATTCGTTGGGGATCACTTCGCCATGTTTATTAAACAAATATAAATGTGTTAATAAGCCCCCGGGATGATGTAATTGGGTCGGTGAGAGACCGTCAGCTTTCCAAGAAAGGCTCAAATGTAACTTTGAAATTTCGAGTAACGGAAATGACGAAAAGTGCGATAAAGAAGAATTTGAACGCAATGTAAGTTCACTTTTTCATTATTTACTAAAGGTTTTCGTTGATTAAGGTTTGATGTGCTTAGGAACAGTGGACTCTGGCCTCAGTAACCGACCACGCACGGAGCAGCCCTAAAATGGACGCCTTTGTAGTTTCACCTTGCCATGCATTTCTGAAAACTGAAGTTTAAAAATGAGGAAAATGTATCGTTGCGTTGCTATGGCGACTAGATTAACAATAGTGAAGTGGTATTGGAAAACCAATTGTCTGTCCTGCTGCAAGTGGACTGCACCCCCCCCCCCCCCCCCGGTAGGTCTCGTATGCTTTAGACAAGGGATTTACAAAGTATGGTCCGCCGACCACCGTGAGTTCCATTCAGGTAGTCTGAGAAAAAAATAATTTTGCAAGAAAATTATAAAATAAAACTATGAAAAATGCATGAACGAGTCGAAACCTTCGTAGGCCAGTATTTCGCAGACATTTTTCACCCGCGGCAAACCCTAATATGTCATATTCACGATTGCACACCACAGAATTTCGCCCCACGGAAAGAGGGGACGCGAAACACACGTCGCTATAAATATTTGTGTACACATAAATCCTTACCCTAAAAGAATGCATGTGTATAAATAAACAGCATATAACACATGTTAACGAAGCATTTGTGGTGAACGAGTGTGTTTATTGCAAATTCTTATTTATTATTTCCAGCCACATGTACGGATACACAATTTATTACGAACATTTCCCGGGGCAAGTCTAACATTGTAGCGGAACACCGACGTCTCGTGGCACACAAGTTGCGTAACACTCTTGTAGTTCACAGTGGGTAAAGCACCAACTTTAATATTATCATTTACAATTTTTTTTTAAATTCTGTAAGAAATACGTTCTTCTATCTATAGGGAAATTTCGAAAACGAAAAACATTTTTAAAAAAGTTCACAAACCCTCGAGACAAGCGCGCAACAGAACGAACTCCCCACATCTGGAGCACAGCGTGCCTCAATTGTTTTCATTAAAGAGAGTATCGTGTGGTCTCGTAGCGACGCGTAGGAATGGCGAGGAGCGTCCCACGCGTCGCACTTGGAATTTGCAGAACAAAACAAATGTTACGTAAGTTCTTCGGAATCCATCAGAGAAATTAACTATTACGGTAAGTGGATTTAGCGCGGCTTACAGATCACGGCCTTTTGCGATACTCCGCCTTGTACCCTCGTTAAAGACGACCGACTTTTCCGAGATGCGAGCTGCCTCCATCACGAGAGACGCATCGAACTTCTCATAGCCCTAATAATAATTAGCAGATTGAAGTAAAGTTACAAAGTCCTTATTCAGCTGCGTATTTCGTAATAATTACGACAGTTTCTTTCTAGTTCAGTCGGCTTTTTGGTGTTTGATCGTGGTAGTAATTTCACTGGCAAAAATATGTGTTTACCTACTAAAGACTTGTTGCTGACTTTAATACTAAAAAAATATTTTGCACATTTTCCTCAAATAGGATATTTATAGCGTCATGATTCGGTTATCAAGGCCTCGTTTTTCAACATGGCGGGGTTCCGTAGAACTGAGCTTATTTTAAGTGCTTTGAGATGCGTTATTACCACGAAACCCGCTCAGTGTCCTAGTTTACAACAAGGCAACAGCTGAATGAAAGTAGCGAAACAAGGAAACCGATAACCAACCACATTGTGCACACCATTTAGTCGGGAAATATCACCGACGCGTCACGACGCCTGTCGTCCTGTCAAAGGGTGGGTTCAGTGTGACTGTGGAAACAAACCAATCCTGTTAATTTGTTAGCTCAGTGAACAGACGGCTCCATTATGGCGCTGGGCAACGAAAAGAAACATACACACACACTTGTCAGTGTGAATTCCGCTTGCCCAATGTCGTAATTAAATTGGCATTGCCGTGTTTGTATGATCGAACCACGAGTCACTGTGACATCCACGTAATTAATGGATTGTACGTACTTGTTTCAGTCAATTTATTTGTGGCGAGATTTCAGCAATTATACGTGACTATGGTAACAGAGACAGGTTACATAATTACCCCCCCTGTACGTAATAAACAGATCATGAAAGTACAAGATCGAACGTCTCTGTCGATTGGATTTTCCATTTTAAAACGTAGGCCCGGTAACAGACTTTCTTCACTGATATTACGGTTTTCCTCAGTTTCTCCAGGCAAGTGTTGAGAACGTAGCTTAAATTGCAACGACCACTTCCTTCCAGATCCTTTCCAATTCAGCGTTCATCGATTCACACCGACGCCACACGCTAGTGACCGCGTCCTTACCTAAACCACAAATTAATTCAACTGAAGATGGCTGCCTATCTTCTGGGTTGTTGCGTCGTGCAATCTGGCAGAAGTTTACCGACGTTTCGGAGGTTCTTACTGCCTCCGCCCTGATGGCGGAGGTAGTAGACACTTCTGAACTCCTGATTTCCACCAGACTACTCGATGCAACAACCCAGGAGCTAGGCAGCCATCTTCATACACGCAGCTCTGAGAGAAACCGATATATTAAATTGAAAACCTGAAGAAGCCTGTTTCGCTTGCAGGCCTCATGGCGTCATCTGCCGCTCCAACCGCTTCCAGTTGCGGCACAGAGCGGTCGTGTCTCTGCGGCACCGTGAACGCGTCTTCCCCGTCGTCGCTGTCCTCCGCTCAGGGCTCCCAACACTCCTCCAGCAGCGTGGCCAAGTGCAAGATCTGTCGCACAAAACCAAAATTCTGCTTCCTCCGCGGCCAGAGATCATTTGACTTAGGACAGCAAGGACCAAGTTCGGCCGGTAAGGATTCCCTCGCTTTATTAAACCGAAAGGTTCCGTTTGGCTTCTCTCCTAGGGCCTCCTCGACGTCCTTTGCGTTTCTGCGATCCTCTGCCTCACTCTCTGACTGGTTGTGCAGGTCACGTGCTGGTATCAGCAGGTCCCGCCCGGAGCAAAGAGGCAGAGGCGATAAGGGACACCACCAGGACCCCGCCACACGCCCGCAGAGCTAGAAGCGCGGAACGTTTCGAGGGGCTGCGGATCAATGAACGTAATAATTATTATTCCACTTATTCATAGTTTTACAGGGTATTTACTTCTATGTACCCGAGACAAACCTTGCCCCTGAGGTACATAGTACAGCAGCTATTTCTGAAATATATTTTCTTCTTAATACGTGTTACATGCATTGAAGCCACGGTGGTCTAGCGGTTAGAACGCTGGCCTTGTAATCCTGGGGTCTCGGGTTCGATTCCCGGCGGTGCCCGAATTTATAACTTGTGTTGGGCAAGGCCGTGGTCTAGGCAACACGGAGTTTTCCTCCGGGGCACCCCAACAATTACTCCATTCACACACAAAAGAAGGCAATGGCAAACCACTTCTCGATCATCTGCCAAGAACTTATATGAACAGGTCCCAGTCCGAGAAAAGGAGGGAAGGATCCTGTTCATATGGACCTGTCCTCAGACAGAACACTAAATAAATAATAAATACATGCATTGAACATATTCCGCGCGAGGCATTATTATATTTTTGCATGAGCGTCTTTCGAATGATGTTTGATGTTCGTAGAATGACAGTTTTCCGAAGTTCCCTAATGTCGTGTTCGCTCGGGATGTTGACCAAATATTTTTGAGTGATTTCTTAAAGAAATAGAATGTGCTGCTCTGTGGATCTACTTACTTCCTGTAGAATAAAATAATTCTTAAATCATTCATGTACTGTTATGTTGTAAACATTACTCTTCAGTTCCTATTACAACATGAAACATAAAGCAGGATGCTGTTTTGACTGTAAAATACGAGGTTTCCTTAATTTCCCGTTAACACGTTGCGTTCAGGAACTGGGGCAGGACTTCCACGGCAAACATCACTTCAGATATCCGTAAACAGCAACGGGATCTCTGGCGACAGACCACCGGACTACTCATACCCAGAACTACCACCAGTATTCTCACCACCGCCTCCGTACGAAGTAGCAATGGGGAAGGTGAGAATGACTTCTTGTGTAGAAGACATTAATCAGACGTAGAAAATTTTAAACTGCGAAGTCGTGAGATTATTTTCGCTTGTAATTACCCCACTAATTCTCAGCACTTTTCGGGGACAGTGGGTAAACCAGTCACCAATGAGAAGTGTACGTCGAAACAAAAAGTTCACGAAAAGTCGAAATTTTACATCAACGGGCATTTAGTCTGAAGTATGAGATATCAGTCCAACATAAAATATTCTGAAAGAGATAGATGTTGCTGCTTTGACGGGCATTTCTCACCACCTCGTGGTAAAGGCGGTCACTGTTTGACCTTCAGGACGACACTGAAGTAAACAATACACTGACTGAATAAAATATGTTTTATCTGTAAGTAACGAGCATTCAGGTTAGGTTACAAAATGTCTGAGCTTAAGTTCACTCAATCCAGATATTTCAATTAAATGTGTTGTACCACAGGAGCATAAAACAAACACGTGGAACCGTCTCGGTAATTTAATTAGAATAAGATGGCGGAATTCAATTTTGCACTTCACTGAATCTAGGCGGCGAAACCTGAAAGCTTCTACCTTCCGCCGCCTGATCGGAATTACTCACTGATGGCCATTT